TTATATTATATTATATTATATTATATTATATTATATTATATTATATTATATTATATTATATTATATTAATATTATATTATATTATATTATATTATATTATATTATATTATATTATATTATATTATATTATCATATATTATATATACAATATCTAATATATAATACAGAATAAATATTTAAAATTTGAATCCGGCCTTCTACTGCTGAAGCTTGACTTTCTGCGCGCTCGTGCGCCCCTGCCTCCTCGTTCCTGAATCCTAAACCCAAGGTGAAAGCCGCAAGCCCTAAACCCGAAACCCTGCAGCTACGGTTTAGGGTTTAGGGTTTAGGGCCCTAAACGCGAAACCCTGCAGCTCCTACGCTGCAGGTAGGAGACCACTACCAGCACTGCAGCCTTTTCGCGAAGTTCTTCGCGAGCTGGATCATCCCACAGGCCCTTGCGGACAAGCACCTCCAGGAGGAGCACTGAGCACTTCTTAGCATGATGGTACTAATTGTTATTGCTGCCAGCATTCAGTTCTGATGAGTTCTTGTGGCACCATCGGCGTTGTTCTGGATTCCGTTTCTCTTCCAGGTTTGAGCGTTGACAGTAGTTCATTGTCAGACAGACCAGAAAGGGCAGCCCTCACTAGCCTCGTGAGGAGATGGTCAGGACGTTGAAGAACTGGGTCATCGTGCGGCCGGGCGGGCTCATCGACGGCGAGGGCAAAGGGCACTGGCATGCCGCAGAAGACGCCTGCGGCGCCTACCCCACCATCCCACGCGCGGATGTGGCCGACTTCGTGGTGAAGGCGTGCCCCCGTCAAAGTCTAGGTTTCAGGATTTAGGGCAAAGAGTCATAGAACCCTACAGTGCCCTTTAAGGGGAACCCTTTTATAGAACCCTATAGTACTTGTAGCCAGGCTTTCGTTGTCCTTGTCTCTGTCCGAGCAGGAGTGCCTGCCGCCCAGTGACCAGTGGCTCCGACGAAACGTGGCGCTGGTCACGAAGAAGCCGAGCCGTGCGCGGCAGTGCTTCTCAAAGGCAGCCACCGACCCCCAGTGATGTCTATACAGCGGCATCATCACACCCTTCTGCCTGCAATAAAACGTTGCAGACCTGGGGACGCCTTTCATTTTTCGTTTTGCTGTACAGGAGGTCACACCAAAGCTTTGGCATCCTGCTGTTTGGGCGAGGGTGCCGGAGCCATTTTGCACAGCGCTCAGCGAAAGCTTCTCTTCGACATGCAAGAGACGAAACAACACTCGAGCTTCAAGACTTCGTCGTTTGATGTACGTTCGAAAGCAGTTCGCTTTTTCTCTCGCTCTCTACTGTACATGGACTGGCAGCCTCATATGCTCCACAGACCTCTACCTAACTCTTCATGCACTACATAAGCTATGTGTCGTTTTCGGGCTTATTTGCTTCTGTCAGAGGCCCTGAATCTGTGCATAGGGGCCTCCAGCATGTGAGGCAAAGGTCTTGAGGGTTTGGGGCTTTGGGGTTTTGCTTTCCAAGGCCGGAGAGTGAGCATCTGTTCGGGAGGTTTCTTTTGGCTTCAATCTTTCGCCATGCAGTATGCTTGCACATCGTGTAGAGAAAGAGGAAGCTATGCTGTGTCGTCGGTGTCGAAGACCATCTCCGAGCCTGGAATATCCTTCTGGCAAACTTTGCTGGCCTGTGAGCCTACCAAGCTTCATGTAGATGTCGACATAGCTTCTCGTCCGGTTCGACGTCCCCCGAGCCCGTGACCCCTGTCCTTGCCTCGCCAGTGACATCGTCACAGCCATCAATGCAGAAACGGACTCTGAGGACCCTTGCATCGTCAAGTTTTTAGGCTTAGGGTTTCGGGTTCAGAGTTTGTTAGTTACTACTTCAGGGCTCGGGGTTTAGGGTTCAGGGTTCAGGGTTTAGAGTTTAGGGCAGTGTTGGGCCCTGGGGCATGGGGCATCTCGGCCGAAGACCCTGTAGGCATGCTCCACCCAACAGGCTTTACCAAAGGCTCTCTGCGCTCACTTGTTGGTTCTCAGGTCCAATCTGACGCACTTCTGCGCAGACTCAGAACTAACGTGCCGTTTTGCTGCAGCCTCGCTCAAGAACTGCACCGTGGACCCCAAACACCCGTCTTGTTCCAGATTCTCAGCCCCCGAATCGTGGAATTCTGCGCAGGATGAGAAGCAACAGGCGAGTTCCAAAGACAGCAAAGAAGGCTCGGGAAAGGAATACAAACGGGGGACAAAACGGTATGATGACAAGGCTAGTGGTTGTATTGTAATGATGGCTGTCAGATGCGGTCAGCAGCGGCAGCAGCACGCACCACCTCTGCCAGGACTCTACCACCGCCGTAATCATCATCGTCATCATCATCACCAACATCATCATGATCGTCAGAGGGAGCCAGATTGTAAACGTAGCGGTGAACAACCCATGGTAGCTAGTTGCCATGCTGGTTTCAAGGTTGTCACACTCGTGTTCTGTTGGTACGACCATCACAACAACTGCAAGCAGCGACAGTTAGACACACTAGCTCTCGCGATCTAGAGATCTTGGTAAATGGGAAAACACCAGAATCCTGTTGTAATCGTCAAGGCCCTGTAGTAACCCCTCTAACATTACTCATAAAACCCTTGAAAACCAGGATCTAATTATTGAGGCCCCGGAATTAGCAGTACTGGGACTGAATTCCCAGGCCCCAGACGATGGATGCCAGATGATAGAGCTTAGCGTGTAGGGTTACGGGTATTGTAGAGTTTGGGGTGTAGGGTTTGGGGTATGGGTATGGTTTCGGGTTTAGGATGTGTATATAATGGCCCAGGCAGACATCTGAGAAAGCCCTTTGAAGCCTAGTATCATTCCCACTGTGAGAAGGCAAGTCGTCCGAGGCAGAGGCCAAGGACAAGGCACGGGCACCTCTTATTCACGGTCTTGGCGTCCGGGTTATGAGGGTTGGGATGGGAGGTTTCACAGTGTGCTTTGGGATTAAGGCCGTAGTTCTGTGGACTTTGGGTTTAGGTTATTGGTATTTCGCAATCGATAAGCTGGAGGTGTGTGTGCTTTTTGAGTGGGTGTGGGGCACTTTGGCTCAGGGCTTTATGGGACTTGCAAGTTTTGAAGGCTTCAGGATTGTGGGTGCTTTGGAGGTTTGGGCTTTAGGGTTTCGAGTTTGGGGTTGGGCATGCGATGTAGAGTTGAGGGGATCACCGAAGTCAGAAACCTCCAACAGAGGTACTAAGATGGCTCTTTCTTGATTTCTCCCTTTTGCGCTGGGGGTTGGCTTTGGCGGGGGCTGCAGATCTTCAGACTGTTGCTTGCGGCGATCGCTCGGCCTGAAGAGCAAACCCTGGACGCCCCAAGGTGCGGGGGTAGTTGCGGTATCAAGGTGTCTGGGTGCCCAGATCGGGGAGAATAAAAAAGAGAGTCCGTAGTACAATTTTCATGAGTCCATGGCCCGGGGGTCTAGGACACCCGACGCTCTAAAGGTAAGTCCTGAAGCCTGAACCCTAAGCCCCCATGATCTCTGTAGCCTTAGCCGGCAACAGCGTCTTGACACTGAAATCCTGATGCATAAACCGTTTAAGCTACAAATCCAAAACATGAAGCCGTACGCCCTGACTCTGAATGTACGATGACATCCGAAATCCTAAAACACCCCTACCCCAAAGCCAGGTTTTCGAATTTAAGGCTCCAAGGTTAGACTGAGTTAGATCATAGAACGTGAGCTTTAGAGTTGATGGAGTCGGATTTCGGGGGCTTTACAGCACAGGAGAAGTCCAGCAAGACTTCCGCGGAGGAGGACTGTGGTACTTGTGAAGAGCGATTTGTGGAGTCTGGGGCTGGTCGGCATCCTAGGGCTTAGGGTGCACGGTTTAGGGGTTTAGGGGTTTAAGGGTTTGGGGTTTAGGGGTTCAGGGTCTAGTCTCCGGGCTGTAGGGCTTCGGCCGGTTAGGTTTGCAGCCGTCAAGGCTTTACAGCTTCTATAGGCTGAGAAAGACTCCGGATCAGGGAAAGCCGGGCAGTCCTTGCATCGCGGACCCTGCAGTAGGTTGATATACCGTCGCTCCCTTTGAACAGAAGGGATTGCGGAACGTGAGCCTGCCTGTCGGACATAAACCCAGGAAGAGCCCCGAAATCCTTGTATTACCATTTCTGCTAGGGTGTCCCTACGTGACATTCTCTGGTCTCGACTTTCTCCACGTAAAGCCACCTTTATGGAGAACCGTTATTCCTAAATCCCACTGCTCCCAAGTCCAGGAATCCCAAGCCATAAAGCCCGAACCAAGAACTAGGACCCGCACTCGAAGCTGCTGAGATCTTCGGAACTCATTGAATCTGACACGCAAGGTTTCCGCATGCTAACTTTCTTAAACCCTCGGCCCAGTTTGAACTTTTCGTGCCGACCCCGAGCTCTTCTGACCGCTTTGACCAGCTCCCACTACGACGACTACTTCTTCTCCTGTTCCCACTTCTCCTACTTCGGGTCCTGCTCCCGCTAACACGAAGACCCCACCACGACTATTTCCCGGCAGGAGGAGCAGTATGTGGAGTGACTCTGGCAGCCTTCGATTTCGGATTTCGTTGCCGAGGCTTTCAGTTTAAGGGTTCATCTTCGAGAGTCCCAGGATGTGGGCTTGGGGGGTGGTCTGGGTTTATGGTATAAAGGCTCTAGGGTTTTGAGTTCAGGGTTCCAGGGTCAGGGTTTGGGGTACAAAGTCAGCTTCGCACGTTGTCTTGGGAGGTGTTAGAGAGTTGGGGGCTTCGGGATCAGACTTGACGGTCTAAAGTTTAGGGTACTTGGGGTCTCCAAGAATTATTAGTTTGTTTTAATTAGTTTGTTTTAAAATTTTTTTGGGGACCCCAAACCTTACGCCCTAAACCACAAAACCCTAAGTCCTTAGCCCTAACCCCTAAACCATGGGTTCTTCCGGTTTTGAGGGCCAGAGGTTCCGCGCGCACGGCACCCTAAACCCTTCACCTCCAAACTCCTAAAAGACGGCCTTCATCATTCGAGCAGGGCTTGGGGGGGACACTTTTGAATCAGTATGATACGCAAAGGAAAAATGCGGTTGTTTTCATTCAGGCTTCTTTCTTTGACCCTGGACCTATACCCTGCCCAGTGCCCTAAAGGCCGTTCCGAGGCTTCAGATGTAGATTAGAGACGTCGGGCCTTCGTTCTTCTTTCTTTCGGGTTCAGGCCTTGCAGCTCAAGGAGTAGGGTGGACTATAAACCGAACATGATCACCCCCTAGGATAAACTTCAGATGGTTTTTGCTGTTATATGTCACAGTTGTTGCTTTTGCGAGTGGCTCAAAGCCAACATCTCCGTTTCTACCAAGCCTCGGTTGCTTCTTGTGCCGCCTTGGAGGTTCCCATCGTAAGCCTTAAACACCCGACACCGCACCCGTAGAACCTTACTCCCTGAACCCGAAACCCTAAAC